GGGGTGGGGAGGGCAGGAGTCAGGCGGGCGAGGCCGGGGAGGGGAGGGCGTCGGCGGCAGTGGACGCTTCTCGGGAGGCACCTGCATCTCCGGCGCGCAGCTTGCTCAGCAGCTGGCGAGGCCGTCCGCGCAGGGAGGGCGGGAGGGCGTCGCCACGCAGGTAGCCGTCGTCGTCCTCCGGCGCGAGGAGTGTGACGCGTGGCCGGTGCGGCGGCACGCGGCCTCCGAGCTGCTCGGCGCCCGCAAAGACGTCGCCCGCGCAGTACTCGCAGAGCTGCTCTCCGTCGGAGAGCACGGTCGCCTCACGCACCTCCTCAAAGCAGCCGCTGCAGATGCCGCTGGTGCGCTCGAGCCGCGTCCCGCACCAAGCGATGCGCTCGCCCGGCGGCGGCGGCGGCGGCGGAGGCGGCGGCAGCGGCGGCGCAGCTGCCGCGACCGCGACGCGGCTGAAGGCGCCGGGGCTGGGCCGCTTCCAGCCGACGACGGCGCAGGGGCAGTTCATGCACAGCGAGCAGAGTCTGGGCCGACGCCGATGTGTTTCTTTATTCTGGAAGGGAACAAAAGGAACGACAAGAGAGAGAGAGAGAGAGAGAGAGCAATGGCCGTTATCCGTTAGTGCGGACGTCGCCGCGGCTCGCCTCTGCCGCGGCGGCTGCTGCGCGCACGCGGCGGCGCCGCTCTCTCGCGAGACGGCTGGCGACGCGGCTCGCCGCCGACGTACGGTGCGCTCGTCCGACGGTCCGCAGCGTGGCGTGCGCGGCGCTGAGCGCCGCTCTGCGAGCGCCTCTGCGCCTGCACTGCCTGCCTCTGTTGCTGTTGGTGGTGGTGGTGCTGCTGCTGCTGGTGCCGATGCTGCTGCTGGCGCGGCGCGGCTGTGCGACTGGGCTCGACGCGCGCGTCGCGAGCGTCTGACGCGGCGGGCGGCGTCAGGCAGGTGCGCTTCTCTCTCGGGTGGTGGTGGTGGTGCTGCTGCTGCTGCTGCTGGCGGTGCAGATGCTGCTGCTGGTGCGGCGCGGCTCTCCGACGCGACTCGATGCGCGCGTCGCGGCTATCTGACGTGGCGGGCGGCGTCGCGGGCGGCGGCGGTGGCGGCTCGCGGGTGGAGGTGGAGGCTGGTGGCTGTGGTGGACTTTGAGTTTATTTCATGGTCGTGTACGGGGACCGGGGGGTCAACCGGGAGGCAGGGGGTTCAACCAGGCGACGGAGGACCGTGGGCCATCGCGGGGACGGGCCCGCCGGAGGCGCGCCCGGTAGATCCGGATGGTCTCACCCGGTGGGAGGCACCGAGGCGTCTGGGACGCTCCACTCTACCTTAAGCTCCTGAGGGGCGCGTGGTTTTAACCACGTAGTATGACTACAGCCCACCACAGACACCCTCCCTCTCCACACGTGTGCACACACCCTCACCCTCTCCCCTCTCCTCTCTCTCCTCTCTCTCTCTCTCCTCTCTCTCCTCTCCTTGTCTGTGTGCTGTCTGCCTGACTCAGGCACTAATTCTGCCGATGCGTGATTGTGTGTGGGCTGCTCCGAGGGGGCCCTGCGCGATCCGATGGGTAGGGAGTCTGTGCCCGGGCGGTGTCCGGTGCGGAGTCTCTCTCTGATCCCACCTGTGGTGTTGGGTGTGAGGTCGTGGAAGCTTCGATCCCAAGGGGGGGAGCCGAGCCCACTCATAACCAACTCTCAGGGGCAGTAGGTGGGCGAGCCTCGAGCGCGCTCATCTCGATCGTCAAGGCGTCGCTACGCGCGGTCTTCCGCGGGGGGAGCTGCGTCGACGGGTGCGGGACCGCGGCGCAGCCAGTGCCGCGGCGAGGCCTCCGGCTGTTTGCGGCGGGCGGCTTGCTGCTCGCTGCGATGGCGAAAAACTCGTCTCGCCACACACCAAGGGCTTATGCTCTGGCGAGACGTGAGGCGCATGCGCCCAGGAGGGGAGGGGGCATGTGTAACGACACTGCTAGAGATGCCTTTCGGGGCCCAGAGATAAAACTTCTGTGATGCCATGCGTGACCTAGTAGTGTCCCCAGCTATGGGCGTGTCCACGTTGGAGCCAGGTGTGGTGTGGGCGCGAGAATAGCTCCGCCGTTCATGGAGGCAACCGATGCGAGTCGACTGGTGTGTGTCGTCGTGGTTTCGTATCAAGAATTCTCTCTCTCTCAAGGAACGACAAACACGGCTTCTATTATTTCCACCCTTATAAGTCTCTCGTGTCGGCGCCGACGCTCTTGGTTTAACCGTAGAACGTCCCAGCCGAAATCCGCCCGCCGACGATCGATCAGTCCACAATCGTCGGCCCGCACCCCGCAGCGACCCGCAGCGATGGATGCCGCCCCCCACGGCCCCTACGGCCGACGGGCCGATGCACGACCGGCCTCCGTCGGACGGCTCTCCGGCCTCTCCGGCCGCTGCCGCCCGCGCTGCTGCCGATCCGGTCCCTCTCACGCTCAGCAATACCCGCACAACCTACGACAACTTTGAGGTCGTCGGCTTTGGCCAGGTGCAGCCACCACACCTGCTTGCCTCCATGTTCACGCTTCGCGCCCCTCCCCCCCTTCTGACGCCGCCGTATGACCTTAGGTGAGGGGCACGACTACCCGCCTGGAAGGCGCTCTCATCAGCAAGTCAATTGCAAACCGTCCCGGCATGCCGACCTACCTTCAGCAAATGCCGACCTACCATCAGCATGCCGCCCGCACCGAGTGCGTGATCGACGCCTTCGTCGGCGATCTGCCCTGGAAATCTGGCTGCGGGCCTGCGCTCATCGTGCGGACGGTCAACGACGGTCTCCACTACGCTCTCACCCCGGATCGATCCGGTCCCTCTCACGCTCAGCGATATCCG